CAGGAGCTACAGTCACGGACCCTGAGCAGGGGCGCAGCGGTGCCCGGGTCTTGGGTGCGTTGCCACCACGGGTGCTCCTAGCGCCCTGCTAGCTCGCGCGCTCCGGCTCCGGCGCTGCGGCAGCTCTGAGCTCAGCGCCCCCCACCGGCGGCCGCGCCGCCCCCTCGGTCTGACTGACAGGGGGCGGGGAGGGTGACATCTCCGCGGAGCCAACGAGCCTCCAGGGACCGGCCTCTGACGCGCCGTTGGGGAACCAGGGTCGTGAGATTCGTGTGGTGTTTTAGGGGTGAGGGAGGAGGGACAATGCGGCGTGCTAAGAGTAGGGAAGAAATAGTGCGGTTGGCTTTGAGGTGCAACTGGGTGCTGATCCTAGTTGTGCTTGTTATTTAGCTATGGGATCTTGGGCTGCTTAGTTTTTTTTTCTGTAAAACACGGTGGTTAATTCAAAGTGTGCTTATTGGGCACTGAGGCAGGGGTGCAGGTTCGAGGGTGGCCACAGGAGGAAAGGAAAACATGATCCCCTCCTTATGTATACGTGCTTGCGCAGATGGGAGGCAGAATGGAAAATAGATGCTTCTGCATCAACTCTTAAGCCAAATAAGATTATTTCACAGCTTGTGAGACGTGTTACGAAAATAATAAAATAGTGGCCTAACAGAATGACCAGAGGAGGAGTGCTTGAGACAGAGTCGTCAGGGAAAGTCTCTGCAAGAAGTTGCATTAGAGCAGAGACCCCAGAGAAACAGCAAGGATAAAGTGGGTGAAGGCAAGATCCATAGAGAGGGAACTGCAAGTACAAAGGCACTGAGGTAAGACCTGCTTTGGAACAGTTAAAAGGCAAAGCAGCCCAGGAAAACCAGAGCGGAGAATGGGAACGATAAGATTTATTTTTATGGTGGGGATTGTAAAAGTGGTCATAGAATGCCACGGTAGTCCTCAGTCAGTGCAATGATAAAATTATTTCTAAGAAAATATAGGATTCTCAAGGAAAGGGACTCTGACAGTTTAGGGGGTTCAGGAAAGGCAGCAAAGAGGAGGCAATGTCTGAGTTGGGACCCCAAAGATGAGAAGACAAGGAAGGAAGGGAATTCTAGGCGATGAATATGACTTGGCCAAACATACTGTGGCCAGAAATGCAGGGTATATAAGAGGCAGATGATGAGGTTTGGGGGTGGGGATGTTCACAGGACTCTGGTAAGACTGCAAGTTGGCACAGGGTTTTGGAAGACAATTTGGCAATGTTTACCCAAAGCATAAGTGCATGCTCCTTTTGAGCCAAGAGCTCCCCTTCCAGGAATTTATCCTGTGGATCTCTACTCACAAAGTGCACACAGATTTTTGTGCAGGGATGTTCACAGTTTATTGTAGCAAAAGAAAAAAAAAACTGAAAAGAATATAAGTGCCCATCTGTAGAGGACTGGCTATTTAATTGGGGTTCAATCACCCAGTGACATGCTATGCTATGGTTAGAAAGGATGAGCTAGACCCATGTGTACTGATATGGGAAATATGGTGTTAGGTGAGAGAAGCAGGATGCTAAACAGTTAGGTGTTGAAGAAGCCAAATAAAAATATAATTTTCTACGTCTCAGAATAGAGTCATATATTAATATATAAGTATATTTTGGTATATACACATATACTTATCCCATACTATACATTATACACAGGCACCTTATATACAAATACATACATGTAGTTGACCCACTGTGTCCAGAGATTTCCCATTTCAGATTCAAACAATTATGAAACGGGGAGCTGGGGTTGTGGCTCAGTGGTAGAGTGCTTGCCTAGCACTGTGAGGCACTGGGTTGTATCCTCAGCACCACATAGAAATAAATAAAATAAAGGTATTGGGTCCACCTACAACTAAAAAAAAATATTTAAAAAGACAATTATGGAACAAAATACTTAGGAAAAAAATCACATCTGTATTAAACACACAGACATTTTTCTTGTCATTATTCCCTAAACAATGCAGTGTGACCACGATTTATGTAGCATTTACATTGTACTGGGTGTTATGAGTAATCTGGAGATGATTTAGAGAGCATGGGAGGATAGTGTAGGTTATATGCAAGTGCTTTGTCATTTTATAGGTCTTGAGCATCTGCTGATTTTGGTATCTACAGAGGGTCCTGGAACCAATCGCCTGCAGATACCAAGGGTGATTGTACTTATTTATAGCCAGATATACAAAGAACACATCTGCAAAGTCTTCCAAAAAAAACTGCAAACAGTAGTTGCCTCTGGGAAGTGTGACTGAGAGGGCTCGAGGAGGGGAACTTTTAAATTTTACCACCTTTCATCTTTGGGCTGTTTTATTCTTTTGCCTTGGAGAGTATTTACCTGTATGATTTTTAAAACTGGCGTGGCAGAAAGCTGGAGTTATTTTTGGCTTTAAGGGAAATTGGATTTTTTCACTTCCAATGTTTGGGGGTGCCCTACCTTAGGAAGCAGGGACTGCTTCCCCCTCTGAGGACTGACAATGCCAGGTACCTGCTTTCCCAGTCTTCCCTTAGCCCAGACACATGGCTGACACGCAGCCTTCGACCTATCACCCTGGATGGGAACCTGAGGCTGGTGCCAGGAGGAAGCACGGAAAGAGGCCAGTCTGTTCTGATGAGGGGAGGTGGAGGTGGTGGTGGCAGCTTCTGCTGGGAACCATGGGAGTCAGTGACAACTGGCTCCCAAATTCCTGAAGCTTTAACCGTTGGTTCCATGAGCCAGACCAAGGCAAATTATTAGAGACTGGATTTGGAGTCATATTGGCAGAGAGGTGGGAGCTGACGCCATGGGAGGCATGGTGATTGTCGGGGGTCCGTGGAAAGTGAAAAGAGGAGAGCCCCCCCCCCCCACCAACAGAACCCTGTGGCACTGCAGCCCTAAGGGTGGCCAGAGGCAGAGGGAGCTGGGAAGAGACTGAGAAGTGCAGTGACTCAGACAGAAGTAGAGAGTGACAGAAGCCTAGGATCTGGAGGTCAGCTGCAGAGAGGTCAAAGGAGATGATTCAGTTTTGGATTGACAGCAGGTGGGCTGCTGGGGCGCTTAACCGCAGCACAGGGAGTTACAGAGTCCACAGAGGGAAGGGGCCCCAAGGGAAAGCCTCCAGGAGAGAGTGACATTCAACGCTGGGATTTGAAAGAGAAGGATCTTACAAGTGGTGCAGAGAGTTCCCAGCAGAGGATCTGGGGAGTGGGGAAGTCCAGAGGGCGGAGGGAACGAGAAGAGGTTAGATTCCAAATCAGGTAGGAAGTTTGGTTGCTGGTGCAGGAGCTTAAGCAAGGCAGACAGGCATTCCTTCACTTAAAAAAGCCCAGGGGTAGGCAGTCTACAGATGGCGTGGTGGCTTCACAGGCATAGGAACCCAGGCTCCTTCTACCCTTCTGATGCAGCCTTATTATATGAATTCCATCTTAAGGTCACTTCATGGTTGCTGTGGCTCCAGCCATCATCAGCATGACTGTGCGGAAAACAGGAAGAAGGGAAGTAGGGTGCAAATGAGTATTTCCTGAGGAGTTTTCTCAAGTCAACAACTTCTACTTCTGTCCCCTGGCTCACCTGAGCTGCAGAGAGGCCAGAAGAGGGTGGCCATTTAGCTGAGCACATGACTTCCAAGAATATAATTGTGAAAAAGGGAGAATGTTTACAGTGAACCACTAGCATCTCTGCCACTGTTTCTTTTTTCCTTATTTTTGGAAATGTCAAACCTAGAGAAACATTGAAGGAATAGTAAATAAAACCTACAGAAAAGTCACGCCACGAGTATAATAACTACCCCAAACATACTTTGCCTAGATTCACTAATTGTTAACGTTTGCCACCTTTTTCTCTCTCTTCATATGTACAGTCCCAAGAAGGGGTCCTGGATACTGGGTTGTCACTTTCTAGCACGACAGATTCCCCATGCCACACAACTTTAGGGCACCGGATGGCAAAGGTCAGTCTCCCGGGCCTCTCTTGGTCAGGCCCTTTGCTTGTGAGTTCTCAAGGACGTCTCATTGTTCCTGTTCTCTCTCCCTGGAAAATGGCCCTGTGCATCCTTCTTTTTCCTCTCTCCTTCCTGAGGGTGTTCTAAGGAGAATGACTATTGAAGCTTTGGAGGCAAGAAGGGGGGAAGGATGTGGGGAAGGGCTTGGGAGAAAATCCCTGGTGGAAGAGCAGGAGCAGAGAGCTCTCAGAAGAGAATCGCAGGGATCCTGGCCCTGCCTGGGCTCTGTCAACTTTTTGTGCCTTTATAACTCTGTGTATGGTGCTTGACTCTGGGATTCAAAATGTATCAACATTCCTGCTGTCCAGAGACCTCAGGATGGGCAGGAAGACAGGCAGGCAGGCAGGCTGGCACCCTGCAGGGTAGGAAGGATGGGAAGCTGAGATCAGGGAGGAGCATGGATGACGTTTATTGAGCATCTACTGTGTGCCGAGTGCTCCATCCATGACATCAGTAAGCACTGAAAGCAATCCTTCCAAGCAGGCATGGTCATCTCCATTATACAGATCGGGGCACTGACATGCAGAGTGGGGAGGCCACTGGCATGTGTTCTTTTCAATCAGTTTTTCCTGAGTGCCCACAAGGTGCCTGGTATAGGAAAGTCATCAGGAAAAAAAAAAAACAAAAAACAATGAAGTCCTTTCTCTTCTGGAACTTAACCTTGTATTAGAATGGACAGATAATTAACAAATGAATTAGAACCACATAAGACCACTGGGAGCCAGGCACAGTGGCACATGCCAGAAATCCCAGGTACCAGAGAGACTGAGGTAGGAGGGTTGCAAGTTCAAGGTCAGCCTGGGGAACTCAGCAGAACTCTGTCTCAAAATAAAAGTTGAAAAAAGGCTGGGGGGGTAGCTGGGGGGCGGTGGGGTTGTGGCTCAGTGTTAATGTGTTCACTTAGCTTGTGTGAGGCACTGGGTTCGATCCTCAGCACCACATAAAAATGAAAAAATGAAGATATTGCGCCACCTAAAACTAAAATATAAATATTTTTTTTTAAAGAAAAAAGGCTGGGGATATAGGTCAGTGATAGAGCACTTCAGGGTTCAATCTCTAGTACTGAAAAATAAAACAAACCAAAGCGAATTTGGATTGTGTAGCTATTGCCAAAGTCCACAGTGATGTTCCTCTTGCTAAATCTTTAATACCTTTATTTTATTTTATTTTTGTGTGGTGCCCAACACCTTGCATGTGCTAGGTGAGTGCTCTACGGCTGAGCCACAACCCCAGCCCTCATCTTGCTAAACCAAATAGTCACCTCTCCTTTCTCTCCTGAAATGAAGGAGAGAAGTGCTGGAGTGGGGTTAACCACACGGGCAGGGACGGCCCCACCTGAGCCAGGTTAGGCAGACAGGGAGCAGCCAATGAGAAGTCCTGGGGCAGCAGTGGGCCTGGCCAGTTGAGGATCTGCACACTTGAAGGCCAGTATGAGTGTGGCAGAACGAGGGAAGGGGACAGTAGGGGAGGTGGGTCTGAGAGAAGATGGGACTGGTGGTGAACAGAGGAGACAGGATGCTCAGGAGCCTGTGAGGCTGAGTCATGCAGGCCCTGGAGGTGCACTTTGAATTACATCTTGGGTGTCCTGGAAGGTTTGAGACAGAGAAGTGATCAGATGAGTAATTTAGATGACCCTGAGACGCTCACAGAATGTTCTGTAGGGGACAGGAAAGGAAACAAGGAGAGTGACAGAGGGACTGATGCAGTGGCCAAGGCCAGGGACGCTGAGGCTTCTCTGGGATGAAGACAAGAGGGAGGGAGAGGAATGGACAGAGCGGAGATGTTTTCAGAACCAAATGGCAGGATTGGGATTCAAGAGCCCCTGCTTGCTCAATGCCACGGGGAAGTGTTCCTGTTCCCTTCAGACAGGCCAGGGTGGACCTGGGGAGGAGCCAGGACTCCAGCACCCAGGAACTTGCCTTTAAGGTCTCTTATTAGTCACCCCAACTTCAGACTCCAGGGACTGCCCCCTGAAGTGGGATCTGTCCCCTGCCTTGAATTTGGGCCCTCTGACTCTAGTACAATACAATGGAACTGATGACGAGCCAGGTTTTATTTTAAGCCCTGGCCTTAAGACACTGGCAGCGTCTACTTTCAGTCTCTTGGGACACTCACCCTGGGAACCCAGGCACCACGCTGGAGGAAGCCAAGCAGCCACGTGGAGAAGCCTCGCAGAGCTGTCCCAGCTGACATCTCCAGCTGAGGTTCCAGGTGACAGCGTCAACTGCCCCATGTGTAAATGACCAGATGCCTGCAGCCTCAGTGAGTGAGCCAGCCCAGCTGGTCTCGCTCCAGAGCAGACAGAGCATGCTATCTTTCCTTGGTGCTCCCCAAATTTCAGATTTGTGAACATAATAACTGATGCTTGTTGTTTTAGGCCACTGAGTCTGGGGCATGCTGTGCTTCCAGAGCCATCTGTCACCAAGTATCACTGAGTTTTCCTTTTCAATATCTCTTAAATCTGTAATCTCCCCTCCATATTCTCTGTCACCTGGACAACTGCATTAGCGTACAAACTGATGTCCTCCTGCTCACATTTTTTTTTTTTCTTTTTGTACTGGGGATTGAACCCAGGGGGACTTAACCCCTGAGCCACATCCCCAGGCCTTTTTATATTTTATTTAAAGACAGGGTCTCACTGAGTTGCTTACGGCCTCGCTAAGTTTCTGAGGCTGACTTTGAACTTGAAATCCTCCTGTCTCAGCCTCCTGAGCTGCTGGAATTACAGGTGTGCACCACTGCCGAGCTCTCCTGCTCACTCTTGCAGCCACAGGTCCCTACATGACAGTTCAGAGAACTTGCTGAAATGCACACGTGGTCACGTGCCCGGCCCTGCTGCAACCACTTGAAGCACTCAGTGGCTCTGTACTGATCCTGGCATCAAGACTTTCCCATTTCTTTCCTCCTTTAGGCTTCAGCCACACTGGCCTTTCTTCTCTTCCTCCAACACCTCATGCTCCCTTTGCCCCAGGGCATTTGCATGTCCAATACAGTTTGTACTCCCTGAAATGCCCTCCCTTGTCCTCTCGCTCATGCTTTAGGTCTCAGCTCAGTGTACAAATTGCCTCTAAGCCAGTGATTTTCAAAATGGGGTCCTTGTCTAGCATAATCAAGGGACTAGTTAGAAAAGAAAATTCTCAGGCTCAAGCCCATGCCTAAGGAGTCAGAAATTTCTGGGGCAGAGCCCAGCAGTCTCTCTTTAACAAGCCCCGCAGGTGAATCTGATCCCTGCACTCCAGAATAGCTGCTCCAAAGCAGTTGAGGTTATGGAGTTTGTTATCTTCTCTCATCCCTGAATTCCTGTTCTTCAGAGGGCTGTGCTTGTAAGCACTCAGGTGATTGTAAGATGGTCTAATGAGTGCCCCATGTTCTCCAGTAGCCCTGAGCACAGGAGCTGCCCCCCCCCTTTGCAGTGCTGGGGATGGGGATGGAATCCAAGGGGGCCTGAAGCATGCTAGGAGAGCACCCCACCTCTCAGCTCAACCCCAGGCTCTCATGTTTTGCTCATTTTATCCTGGCACCTAAGAGAGTGCCTGGTACATCCCAGGGAATGGCTGAGGATGCAGTTAGAATAACAGTGGACTATCAGCCTTCAGGGGGTCATGTGCTAAAGAAAAGGTGTTGTTTAGAAAGCCAGGAAGGGGTTTCCTGAGCCAGAGTGTCCCCCATTTTCCTTTCCCTTCCTCATGCCTCCCTGACCTGGGGTAAACCTCAGCTGACTTCTGTTGAGCACAGAACCAGACCTTGTTCTATGGGCCCGGTATGATTATGTCACACAAGCTTCGGGTTGGGTATTGATATTTCCATTCTACAGATGGGGAAACTGTGGCTCAAGGAGGTTCAGTAATTTGGCCAAGGTCAGGGAAGGACTTGACCCCAGGGATGTGACTGGCTCTCTGCCTCACCCTCAATGTCCAGATGGACAACACTCAGAACAGGATGCAATGTGGGGCTCCATGGAACTTCATGTGCCCTTCCACAGGACAGCCCCACAGCAGATAGTGGACCGTCAAGACAGAGGGCCTAGTGGTGCCAGACCTTCCCAAGTTTACAAGAGAAGGCAAAAGTGTGGATTTTAACATAAAATCTTTTTGTTTCTAAATGTTAGACAATTATTACCTTAAAAAAAAAAAAACTCAGATGCCTTCAGAGACCAGATAAATATCTTGTCACTCAATGCCTTGGATGACATGAGGTGGCTGAACTGAGAGTGTGAATGGTACCCGGAGACCCCCATGCTTTTGTCAGTGTGGCTGCTTCTGTCATCTGTGGGGCAGACTGCTTTAAATTCAGGGGTCACCCTCAGCAGGATGCAGACCCCAAATTTCCTAAGGACAGATCCCAAATATTGATCCTTACCTTCATTTTTCAGCCCCCACTGTGAGAGGCTGGTCACAGGTGTATCTTAACTCCCCACCTGCAAGCTGAAGTGCTCACTCACTAAATGAGTGATGGAAGGATTCTGATAAGCTTCCCACCTCCCCGCATGCTGGCCCCTCCCACAGGCATGCAGGCTCCTCCCTCTCCCCTGCCGCAGGAGGGTGGGGCTAGGGCTGATAGGTTAAAAGCCAGCATCTGGGGACCCCTTACATGCTAGGTGCCCCGTGGAGCTTGAGCCTTAGCATGGCTGCCTCCAGCTCTGTAAGTCCACCGGCTGCCCTTTCTGGAGCAGGGGCCCAGCTGGGGTGATGGATATAGGAGTGGGCTGCAGGCAGAGTCAGGGCTCCCAGGTGACCCTGACTCTTCTTTGGTCAGGCAAGTGAAGCCGAGGGTGGACTCCAAACCTTGGAGAAGAAGAAAGAGGAGGAGGAAGAGGAGAAGGAGGTGGCAGAGTCAGCGTGCCTGTGGGAGCAAGAGCAAGAGGAGGCAACTGTGGAGGCGTGCTTTGGAGACAACGCTCCAAACTTTCCTGGGACTGGGACTTTGCTGTCTCTGAGGACGAAAGCTCAGGACAAGGGGCCCGTGGAGAACAAACTAGAGTTGCACCCCCTGCAGAACAGGTAAGGAGGAGAGTGAAGAACTGGACTGGACCCCTGTGGCTGGGCCATCCTCTATGCTCCCTGGTCGTGTGGCCTCTGACTACCCCTTCTGCTCTGGACTCAGTTCCACATCTGTGAAATGTCTGCGCTGGCCTAAGCACTGGGCCTGTGGACTCTTCCAGCTTTACCCAGCTGAGATTCTGGGCTTAAAACTTCACTGCTTCCTCAACCTTTCAGGATAACTAACTTTAGTCACCATGTGGGGTGTGTTTGGGGGGTGTGCTCCCAAATCTCCCTATTTTGTCCTTAAAGGGCAGGGACCTCCCTCCCTGTTAGCCCAGGTGCTGCTGGGGGTAGACAAGGGGGTGTCTCTGCTTCCTCTCCCCTATCAGGTGGGTTCTATGGTTCTTCAAGAATGACCGTAGCAGGGCTTGGCAAGATAATCTGCATATGGTCACCAAGGTTGACACCGTGGAGGATTTCTGGGCGTGAGTGTGTGTCCCTTGGGGCCAGACCAGGGGATTCTGAGCTGGGAGTTGCTTGTCACACATCCATGACACCATCTCTGGGGCCTTTCAGCGTTTGTTGAGGGATGGGGGAGGGTGTTCCTTTCCAGGAGGCATTGGGATTGGGCCACAGCCACCCCCTTGAAGCTTCTGTGGGCTTAGGGAGAGAGCTTAGGGAGTGGGAGAAGCCGAGAGCGGGAGAAGCCAGAAGCAGCCCATGCTGCCATTTCATGGCTTTATGACCCTGGGCAAGTTCCTTCTCTCTGAACTTAGCCACACAGCGAGGATCAGATTGCCTCAGAGTGTCTGGGGGCGATCAAGGGAGGTTATTTGAGAAGCGTGGTATAAACCCTAGGGGGGCCTTCACTGGAGGGGTGCACCAGGAGTCTCCCCAGGGTGCAGTCTTCATTGGACTTGGATGGTTGGGGAAGCTCCAGGGGGAAGGTGGGCTTTGAGGGAATTCCAAGCAGCAGGAACAGAGTGAGCACAAGCAGGAAGGCCCCACGGTGGTGGGAATCAGTGGATCCCACAAGGAGTTGAGGGGGATGGGGATCAGCTGGAACCCAGCCTAACAAACTTGACTTTCAGCATGGGGGGGGGCTCTCTCCAGGATGTACAGTCATATCAAGCTGGCTAGTAAGCTCTCTTCTGGCTGTGACTACGCCATGTTCAAGGTGAGTTCTGTTCTCATGCCCTCCTTTCCCCCCAAAAGGACAAGGGTTGGATTCTTCCCAGCTTCTGCAGCCATCCTCCCTCCAAGGAGAGGTTTTGGGGTGGAGGGAGCCGTAAACATTCTTTTTCAGGGCAGAGGTGTGATTTCTGATTGGAGGGGCTGCTCTACAGAAGCCCACACAAAGCATGTCAGGCCTGAGCTGCACCTTGGAGAACATTGAGTCTGGAAGGGTAGGGGGAGAGGGAAGAGTCCAGCTTTCTTGCTTGGCTTCTGAACACTCTCCTCCAGCCCTACCCTGGAGGTGCTGACGTAGGCGTTTACAGATTTCCCCCGGTGACTTCTGCCCAGTGAGGTTTGGGGATGTCTACCACTGCCCACAGAAACGTCTGCCCCAGAGGCCTCCTGTAGTGCTTCCGTTTGAACTCGTCTTAAGGAACCTGAATCAGTAAAGGAGATGCTTGCACACATAGACAAGGCTATGAACAGTGACAAATTGGGTCAGGGTCCTGTGGGGCTACAAAGGGGTCTCTCTGGTGGGCTGAGTGGCACCTGGTGGTGTAGAATGGAAGCTAGGAGAAAAGTTGGCCTATTTAGGGCCTGAGCAGAGGGCAGAGAAGGCAGCACACAGAGGCAGCTGGGTCCCGCTTCCCTTTGAAGGAAGGGAGGTAGTTGACCTGCCATCCGCCTTCCAGGATGGCATTAAGCCCATGTGGGAAGACAGCAGGAATAAGCGGGGTGGCCGCTGGCTGGTCAGTCTCTCCAAGCAGCAGCGCCACATTGATCTGGATCGTCTGTGGCTGGAGACAGTGAGTGGTGGTGGCGGTGGGGGAAGGATTCAGGGGAAGTGGTCTCAAGGGTGGTAGGGGCTGTCCCTGTGCCCACCTGGAAAGCTCACCATCCCCACTTTGGGCCCAGTTGCTGTGTCTGATTGGGGAGAGCTTTGAGGAACACAGCACCGAGGTGTGTGGGGCTGTCATCAACATCCGTACCAAGGGTGACAAGATTGCTGTGTGGACGAGGGAGGCTGAGAACGAGGCCAGCGTCTTGCACATTGGGTGAGGGCTGGGTCCAGGGATGACATGGGGGTTGGGGGCTGGCTTGCAAGTGAGACCTCTGGAACTCACAGTGCCTTCTCTCCATTCTTTTTACCCACCAGTATAAAAGGAATGGGAATCTTCTGACTACTCATGTCTCCTTTGCTCTGTCTCTCTCTGCCCAGGCATGTGTACAAAGAGCGCTTGGGTCTTTCCATGAAGACCATCATTGGGTACCAGGCCCATGTAGACGCGGCCACCAAGAGCAACTCCCTTGCCAAGAACAAGTTTATGGTGTGAGGGGGTCTTGGCATCACTCTGTCATGTGGGGCCACCACCTCATAAGCCTCATCGCTGTGGTGTATGCAGGACTACACCATTGATCCTGGGCTGGGGGAGGGGGCAGACAGCGTGATTTTTACATATTCTGGAGTGCATATGAACACTTTTTTCTTTTATTTTTTTGAGATGAGACCTTTCTATGTTGCCTAGCTTAGCCTTAAACTCCTGGGTTCAAACAATCCTCCCACTTCAGCCTTCCCAGCAGCTGGAACTACTGGTGCTTACACCATGCCTGGGTTCATACAAATACTCTAACAGGTATTAGGCCCAGGCCCAGGGGCAGCTAGGTGGAAAAGTTTGAGTCCTTCTTTTTGCCTGGGGACAGTGCAGCAGCAAGGTGCAAGAATCTCTTGGGTTTCCTTCTTTTACCTGGGGGTGGGAATATGGGGTGGTCTTGGTAGGGGGCTTGATGACAAGATGACAGGAGAATTCTATGGGTCCAGTACTTAATCTGTGCCCACTGGGAAGGGTACTAGGTGGCCTGAGGGGGCAGCCTTTTCCATTTTGATGGAGGGGCTGGAGACCACTGATATGCTGAGAGTGGGAGTTCAGAGATGGAGTGTCTCCTCTTTGTGATGAGTCTCATTGGATCTGTCAGTGCCCTTCCTGTATCCTGTCCCTTCCCTAGATCACCTGTGCTTGGGTCCCTGGAGTGGGGCAGCCCTTCCTGCCCCCCACTTCAAGTGTCGGAAGGCTAGAGGGAGAACCCAGCTATTTGTGTGTATATATATGTATATAGAGAGGTGGATGCTGAGAACTGAGAAGCCCTCCATGGCTTCTCACCTTCAGCCAGTGGAGTCTGCTTTGCCTGATTTAGGCCCAGGCCCTAGGACAGGAGCTTGATGGTAGTGGACGCCCTGCTCTAGTTTTATTAGAGGTGGATTCACCTGAAGATGATGAAGCTTAAGTTAGGTACTTGTTCTAAATAAATACTTCTTAACGAACTTGGAATTATTTTTGTAATTTTTTTTTTTAGTTGATGGACCTTTATTTTTTATTTGCTTATTTATATGTGGTGCTGGGAATCGAACATAGTACCTCACACGTACGAGTCAAGCACTCTACCGCTGAGCTACAACTCCAGCCTCAAACTTGGAATTATTTTTAAAGAGGGCTCCAAAAATTTAAGATTCAGGCTCCCTCAAGTCCCCGCCCTGCCTGGAAGGAGCTCATGTGAGATTCTTAGGTACCAAGGAGGCCCACCAGGGTCCAAGCTGATATGAGGGAGAGGGGTTACTGGGAGACCTCAACCACCAAGGGGTGGGGGACAGGTTCCCAGCAAAACTGAAAGAGCAACGGGCTGGCACTCAACAAGATTCAGGTCCTCGTTTGACCTGAGTCTGAGAAAGAAATCAGCTGAATTTGTGTGGAATGCAATGCACGGTCTGTAATTAGACTTGCGACAGGTGTGTTAACCTTCGCCATCCGCTCACCAGCAGCTTTTACTCTAGACGGCAAGGGCGAACACCGGGGTGCCGCTGGAACTGAGCCTTGCAGGGGCTGAGGGATCTGTAAATCTTCACGTGGCGGTCGCTGGCGCCCTCAGTAGGCATCTCCTGCAGGTCTAAAGGACGCCAGAGGTTGGTGAGGCGGTCTGTGAGAGGACTCAGAGGCCAACCTCCAGGGAGACAAACTCTGGCTGGGAGCGGAGCCAGGACCAGACGCCGGGCTCCGAGGGGGCGGAGTCGGGCTGTGGG